GGGATTGTATAGGGATTTTAATAGGGATTTTATAACTTTTCTAAAAATAACAGGCTTATTTAATATATATTTTAATTGTTTTTAGATATTTATTGTATAGTTCCGTTTTTATTGCCTGTAAGCCGCCCTGAGTCCTTCGGGAGAAGGGCGGGGTATAAATTAAAGTAATAATAATAATAATAATAATAATAATAATAATCAAGAAGTGGCCCTTCCTGGTCCAATTCCGTTTGTTAAAGGGTGCTCCCTCTTCAGTTTGTGAGTTCATGTTTCTAAGGTTAAGTCTTTTCACATTCCATGTTTCACCGTTAAAATGACTTTGAATAATGAGGAAAACAACACAAATTTGAAGCAACTTACCCCTATCTAGAGATACAAAATGAAAATGAGGGAAATTTATCTACTGTTCTAGCAAAAAAAGATACAGCATAAGAAAGTAAGTGTGTTCCTTAGGGGGGAAAAAACATCCCTCAAATATTTTATTCTAAAATTAAAGGACAAGCACTGTAGTAAACATTTTACAAAGTTACACAAAATGTGGATTTTTGGAGAGGAGGAGATGTAATCCTGTTTTTTTTTTAATTATGGGGTTAGTGTCAGTAGAGGTAGTTATTGTGTGTTTAAGTTTTACCACTATCACAATAATTTTTTAAAACATTAAATCAGATTCTGCCATGTTCATTCCGCACTGCAGGATAAATATTTCCTTTCTTCTATGGGACATCGCATCAAATGCTTCCACGGGAATATTATATGCTTCCTGGAGTTTTTTTTTTTACAAGGCTAAACATTCCCATTAGCCTCAGTCTGTTTTCATGGGACTTTAATCCTGACCAACCATATACGTAATCTTCGTCAGCCTGATAAAACAGTCCCTGATTACCTCAGGAAAAATATTCAAAATTGGTCTAACAATATGGAGAGGGACTCGTGATCTGTTGGTGAAGACTTAAGCAAAAAAAACCCCACCAACCCTCTTAGTAAGGGCACACTTGGAATACTGCATCCAGTTTTGGTCACCACGAAGTAAAAAAGATGTTGAGACTCTAGAAAGAGTACAGAGAAGAGCAACAAAGATGATTAGGGGACTGGAGGCTAGAACATATGAGGAACGGTTGCTGGAATTGGGTATGTCTAGTTTAACGAAGAGAAGGACGAGGGGGGATATGATAGCAGTCTTCCAATATAATAGGTTGCTTCTTGTCCTGAAGGCAGGACAAGAAGCAACGGATGAAAACTAATCAAGGAGAGAAGCAACCTAGAACTAAGGAGAAACTTCCTGACAGTTAGAACAATTAACCAGTGGAACAACCTGCCTCCAGAAGCAGTGAATGCTCCAACACTGGAAGTTTTTAAGAGACTGGACAGCCATTTGTCTGAAATGGTGTAGGGTTTCCTGCCTGAGCAGGGGGTTGGACTCGATGACTTCCAAGGTCCCTTCCAACTTTATTATTATTATTATTATTATTATTATTATTATTATTATTATTATTATTATTATTATTATTATTATTATTATTATTATTATTATTATTATTATTATTATTAAAGTTGGAAGGGACCTTGGAGGTCATCTAGTCCAACCCCCTGCTCAGGCAGGAAACCCTATACCATTTTGGACAAATGGCTGTCCAGTTTCTTCTTAAAAACTTCCAGTGTTGGAACATTCACAACTTCTGGAGGCAGGTTGTTCCACTGATTAATTGTTCTGTCAGGAAGTTTCTCCTTAGTTCTAGGTTGTTTTTTTTAAATTATTATTATTATTATTATTATTATTATTATTATTATTATTATTATTATTATTATTATTATTATTATTATTATTATTATTATTATTATTATTATTATTACTATTTTCCACAGTTTTTTCTCCTGAGCGGAACTTTTCTGATATTTAAAAAGACACATCCCCTTAAAATAGTTGCATTGCTCCGTTTCTTGATGTACTGTCTCTCCTGCATGGATCAGCTCTTCAGTCCGCAGGTTTAGCATCCATGAAGTTCATCCAAACTCAGATATGTATTTTCTTGGAGGGCATACTCATAGTCTATCCTATGGGAAATAAGGGCAGTGACACATTTTAACCGTTTTCTACACTTCTACACTTTACGGTTCTCCAATGTGGATTCATTTAGATCTGATGAGGCTCCTTCTTCAACTGAATGTTACCAAAATCAACATATTTCTGGTGTTTTTCGCATGCGGGTCTCTCTTTAGGAAAAGAAAACACTTGTGATGAACGCTCCCAAGCTTATGGTTTCTCTCTTGTGTGGATTCTTGTGTGTTGTGAAAGGTGATTTTTCTGACTGAAGCCCTTTCCACACTCGGAGCATTTGAATGGTTTCTCCCCCGTATGAATCCTTTTATGGCAAATAAAATGACTCAGGCATTTGAAACTCTTTCCACATTCCGAACACTTATAAGGTTTCTCCCCTGTATGGATCCTTCTGTGACAATTCAGATCTGAGCGAACACTGAAGTTCTTTCCACACTCGAAGCACTTGTAGGGTTTCTCACCGGTGTGCATTCTTTCGTGTTTCTTAAGGTGACAGTTTCGCCTGAAGTTCTTCCCGCACTCCAGGCATTTGTGTGGTTTTTCTCCTGTGTGGATCCTTCGATGGTAAATATAGGTCGTTCTCTGACGGAAGCATCGCCCACACTCGGTACATTTATATGGCTTCTCCCCCGTGTGGATTCTTACATGTATCACCAGGCTAGATCTTCCACTGAAGTTCCTTCCACACTTCAGGCAAGGATATGGTTTCTCCCCAGTGTGAGTTCTTTTATGTCTTGTAAGGTGACCACTCTGACTGAATCTCCTTCCACACACCAGGCATATATACGGTTTCTGTCCCGTGTGCTTTCTTTTGTGAGCTGTGAGGCGACTTCTCCTACTGAATCGCTTTCCGCACTCCAGGCATTTATACGGACTCTCCCCTGTGTGAATCCTCTTATGGTACATAAGATCTGAGGAGCCACTAAAACTCTTTCCACACACCAGGCACTGATACGGTTTCTCCCCTGTGTGAGTTCTTTTGTGTTGCATAAGGCTACTGTTCCGCCCGAAACACTTTCCACACTCCAGGCACTTGTATGGTTTTTCTCCTGTGTGGATCCTTTTATGGTAAATAAAAGTAGTTTTCCGACTGAAGCTCTTATCACACTCTGTACATTTATATGGTTTCTCCCCCGTGTGGCTCCTTACATGTTTGATAAGGTTTGAACTTCCACTGAACTTCCTTCCACAGTGAAGACACGAATACGGTTTCTCCCCAGTGTGGGTTCGTTGATGTCTGGTAAGGTGACCAGTCTGACTGAATTTTTTTCCACACACCAGGCATATATATGGTTTCTCCCCGGTGTGGGTCCGTTCATGGACAGTAAGTTTACATCTGTGACTGAAGGTTTTTCCACACTCCAGACATTTATACTGTTTTTCCATTGGGGGATTTTCTGGGGGTAAAATAAGCAATTGTTTCTGGCTAAAACTCTTTTCACACTCATACGGGTTCTCCTTTTTATGCGACATAAAATGATTGTTCAACGTGAATTTTTCGACACAATTTATAAGTGCATATGGAGTCTCCGGGATGTATGATGGGTGATGTAAAACAAGAGAAGAGCTAAGGCTGATACTTTCCCCATATTCTTGATATTCATATTGTTCCTTTTCAGGCTGGTTTGTATAATATTCACTGAAAACAAATTTTGCTTTGTCTGTCTTGTCACATCCAAGATATTTTCCAACTTCTTCTCGGTGCTGAAGTTGGTGGCTTGGGAGGCCAAGGACTTCATTGTGATCAGAAGGAGAAGACTTCTTCCTTCCACTCTTTAGGCAGTTTTTCGAAGTTTTTTGAAGTACCCCCTTGATTCCAAACATCTTTTCTTCAAACTGGAATAGCGCTAGGTTGGGCTCCTGGTAATTCTCCTGCTCCTGCCCAAAACCTGATTTGACGAAGAAAAGAAAAAAAATAACCATTACGTTCATCACAGAAAAATGCTGCAACTGTTATTTTTGCATTTCCAACATTTTGCTAGATTCCTCTTTGTATGGCGTAAATCTTTCATTTCATTTAAGGTTCTACCTCAAACATTATATATCTTTTGGGCAATTCCCTACTTAGTTTTTATGAGATATTTTGGTTTTTCTTCCCACCTTTGGAGAAAAAAACCCTACTTTTTTGTTATCTGAAGACTGAATAATCAGGAGCAAGGGGTATCAAGAACAAAATGTATGAAGCAATTGATGCCTTGACGTTCATTACAGCAAATGCAGTTTCAAGAATGCCCTACATTATATACTATATATATTACTCTGAGCCCCTCTTTCTTGTAAAGCAGGTACTCAACAATCTTTGCAAAAAAGCTTGGTTCTTCTCCTCAGTGTTGTAATTCTCCTTTAGACCGAATCCATAGCAGCTTCTAATACTACATTGTGTTGAAGCATCCAGGGGGAAAAATGGCACTTGTTCTGATCTCTACAGGCAACTTACACATCTTCATCTCAGAGATAAAGGGAGGGCCCTTTTGTCCAAACAGATGGTATGAGAAACTGCCACTGACTATTAGGCAATCTTAGAGATGGAGCAGTTATAAGGAATAGACAATCATTCTTCACCTAAAGCAGGGGTCCCCAACATATGGTCTGCGGCCCATTGCCGGCCATCGGGCTGCAGGACAGGCTGGCCACTTGTGCTAGCCCCTGTGGACCTGTTTACTCATGCGCTTGGGGCTAACAGAGGCATGGCTAGTGCTGGCATGCATGCCCAATTGGGGCTGCTAGCGCCTGCGGGTTGCACACCCCGTTTGCACATGCGCGCGGCGCTAGCAGCAGCAATGGCTAGCGCCTGCACACATGTGCAAATGGGGCCGCTAGCGCCGTGCAGGTTGTGCGGCCTGTTTGCACATCCACGCGGGGCTAGCAGCAACAGCAGCTAGTGCATGCGCAAACGGGGCTGCTAGCCCCATGCAGATGCGCATGGCCCCGTTTGCATGTGGCCCCGTTCACGTGCTTGTGCGCGTGGGTGCGCATGCAAATTTCCCAGCTGCTGCTTTTTCCCTCCGGGCCGCCAGCATAAAAAGGTTGGTGACCTCTGACCTGAAGTAGTTCAGGTTATCGGCTCTGGAATCAGACTAAAGGAAAATTGTCATCTTGGCTAAAGAACTTCCTCAAAAGCTCAGATGAGAAAGGATCTTCTAAAGCAGGGGTGTCAAACTCAATTTCATTGAGGGCCACATCAGCATTGCAATTGCCCTTAGGGGGCCGGGTGGGTGTGGCCAGGGTGGATGCGGCCTACTGGGTGAGTGTGGCCAGGGTGGGTGTGGCCAGCTCTACATCGTTCGCGTCAAGGGTGCCTGTGGGTGCCTGGGCAGGAGTGGGACAGATCTGAGGGTCTCTGGCAGAAGGGGATGGGACCAGGGCAAGTGCCAAGGCATGGTCCACTAGAGGACTCTCACTGTTCCTCTCAGGCCATGCGGGGGGGGGGGTTTATGGAGCTAAGACTGAATATGTTTCAGCATAGATGGCCACCACAAAATTGTACATTGGCTCCCAGCTGGCCTGGGCCAGGGCCAAGGCAGAGGGGGCCGTTCCCTCACTGTTTCCAGGATGGCTTTGTGGGCCACATGAAATCACTTCGCGGGCCGCATGTGGCCCCCGAGCCTTGTGTTTGAAATGTCTGTTCTAAAGTATCTACCAACTTGTCCATTTAAGCCAGGGCTAGGCAACCTTGGCTCTTTTATGACTCATGGACCTCAACTCCCAGAATTCCTGAGCCAGCCATGCTAGAATTCCACGAGTCATAAAAGAGCCAAGGTTGTCTACCCCTGATTTAAGCAAAAAAAGTCGCAGAATGTCCTTCTAGGTAGAAGCTGCTTTCTGAGCACTTACGGCAACAAAAGACTTGCACAAATGCCTGAATACCAGAGCAAAACAGATCCTTACCCAGAATGGCCACATTCCTAGAATTCTCCAGCATGACTTCTCTGTGTAAGGCTCTCTGGCTAGAATCCAGCAGAGCCCACTCTTCTTCCGTGAAATACACAGCCACCTCCTCAAAGGATACGGAGCCCTGAAATTCAAAAGAAATGTTCCTCAGCCGAGACAACCCAGAAAGTTCTCTTCCACGTTTCCAATATCCTAAAAGTAAGTTTTATAAGACAGAAAATGCTCCTTTTGTGACATAATCTACTACTAGGTTTCACAGCTGCCTCTCCGACAATCCACCTGTCTGGCTAGAACAGACATGTCAAACACAAGGCCCATGGGCCGGATGCGGCCCGCGAAGTGGTTTCATGTGGCCTGCGAAGCCATCCTGGAAACAGTGAGGGAACGGCCCCCGCTGCCTTGGCCCTGGCCCAGGCCGGCCGGGAGCCAATGTACAATTTTGTGGTGGCCATCTATGCTGAAACGCATTCAGTCTTAGCTCCACAAGGCCGTCTGGAGCGAGGAACCAGCCCCTGCCGCGTCGGCCCCACCCCCTGGGTGCATGCTGGGAAATGTCACCCTTCGTGAGGAATGAAGAAATGCACCATTGCCTGGAAGTGGCCAGCAAATGGCCCTCGCCTACTTCACCTATCTGGCTTGATGGGCTCTGCCCTGGTCCCACCCCTTTCTGCCAGAGACCCTCAGATCTGTCCCACTCCTGCCCAGGCCCCCATAGGCACCCTTGATGCGAATGATGTAGAGCTAGCCACGCCCACCCAGGAGGCCACGCCCACTCCATCCACGCCCACCCAGGAGGCCGCACCCCCCCTGACCACCACCCCCCTGAAGGCAACTGCAATGCTGATGCGGCCCTCAATGAAATTGAGTTTGACACCCCTGGGTTAGAATGTCTTCCTACCACAATTCATTTTGGAGAAAGACGTTGAAGAGGTACGCCATTTTGTCGCCTTTTTTTCTGAGTGAAAACTTTTTTTTTTGCAGAAGCTACCATTTTGATGTAATAACTCCATACCTCTCATACATATCACTTTTATCTGAATATTAACTGAATTTTGCTTGAACAAGTCAGACTAGTTAAATGTCTAATGGAGAGTCATCCAGGTCATAAGTTATCCCAAAGGTGCTTTTTCACAAGGCAACTGGGCTTTCTCGTTTTTTCTTCAAAGACATTTTGCTTCTCATCCTAGAAGCATCTTCAGCTCCTAAAGAAGCTTCTTGGACAAGAAGCGAAATGTCTTCAAAGAAAAACAAGAAAGTCCAGTTGCCTTGCGAAACAGCACCTTTGGAAGTCAGACTAGTGTTTTAGACTTTAAGAGAAGTGACTTCAACGTTAAGAAAGAGACTAGGGAATATTCCATGGATGGTAATATTATTATTATTATTATTATTATTATTATTATTATTATTATTATTATTATTATTATTATTATTATTATTATTATTATTATTATTATTATTATTCAAAGACCTACAAATAGAAATAGAAAGACTGTGGCAAAGGCAAGCAAGGTTAGTACCAATAGTAATAGGCGCCTTGGGTGCAATCCCAAAACAACTGGAGCACCCACCACTTGAACACCATTGGCATTGACAAATTCACCATTAGTCAATTGCAAAAGGCGGCCTTACTAGGAACCGCCTCCATCCTGCGACGATATCTGTAATAACATCAAACATCCACATCTGCCTATCCCCGGTCCTTGGTAGGGACTTGATAGGTAGACAAAAATGCCAAATCCAGTCTGAACATCTGGCTGACTGTGCAATGATCAATAATAATAATAATAATGATGATGATGATGATGATGATGATGATGATGATGATGATGATGATGATGATGGAAGGGACCTTGGAGGTCATCTAGTCCAACCCCCTGCTCAGGCAGGAAACCCTATACCATTTCAGACAAATGGCTGTCCAGACTCTTCTTAAAAACTTCTAGTGTTGGCGCATTCACTGCTTCTGGAGGCAGGTTGTTCCACTGATTAATTGTTCTAACTGTCAGGAAGTTTCTCCTTAGTTCTAGGTTGCTTCTCTCTTTGGTTAGTTTCCATACTAAATACTAAAATGAAAAACAGTTCAAGATGCTTGGGAAAACCTATATATATATCTGCTTGGACATATTCCATAAGTTAACTGCTCTGATTTCTTTAACTGGGTCTGAATTGGCTCCTAATCTTTTAATGAAACTTAATGAATTAAAATTGACTCCCGCTTTTCATTTTTTGCTAGCTGACTCCTGGCTTTGCACATACTTCAGATAGCAAAGGACTTATTTTAAATAAATTAATGTAATTCACTGAAGGGACAAGTAACTTAAAAGCTCAACTGATTCCATAAATGAAGCCAGTATTTTGATATGGCTATAATGGGGCAAACCAATAAGGAAGGCAGGAAAAGCCCTTACCAAAACGATGGTCATAAAAAGAAATGGGAATCTGGGACAGAAATATAATTTGAGAAAACGTCTCAGGTGTGACACTCCTAAGTTCTTGTCAAGATAAAGGGAGGGAGGGAGCAGATGCACTCAGACTTGCAAGATTTTGTTAGTGTAACCCAGGGGTCTTCAAACATGGCCCTTTTATGACTTGTGGACTTCAACTCCCAGAACTCCTCAGCCGGCTGAGGAATTCTGGGAGTTGAAGTCCACAAGTCATAAAAGGGCCAAGTTTGAAGACCTCTGGTGTAACTCTACATAGAAAGTGGTATTACCTTCCGTGTCTTTGGTTTCAAGTTTGGTCTACCTTGGAGGACCGTCCCTTCTGTACCTTGTGCTTAAACCAGAGGTCCCCAACCTTTTCAGCACCAGGGACCAGTTCCGTTGAGAGAAGTTTTTCCGCGGACCGGAGGGTGCGTGGTTTGCCTGCATCCCACGAATGGGACTTTGCTTATTTGTGTTGCTGGCATGCTGTGACCTGGCACTGGTCCATGGACCGGGGGTTGGGGACCCCTGATTTAAACAATCATCTTGAAAGTGGAACCGAGCTAAATTTTGATCTCAACACTTGACCTCCTTAACAAGCTTTGTGTAGACTGTCATGCCACAAACAACACCCCCCCTAAAGATTTTCCTGCTCTAATAAGCCTCCTTACCTGAGCTGTTGCGGCTCCATCAGACAGACGAGATGTTTCAGTGGCTTCCATAGACAACCTTGCGTTCCCTGTGATCAAGATGAAAGGAGATGGACAAAAAAATGTTTGGAAGCTGAATGAGTCGGCTGTTGCAGGAGTTCCCAACCCCCGGTCCATGGACCAGTACCGGGCCGCGGGATGCCAGCAACCGGTCCGCATAAACAAGCAACACCCCATCTGTGGGATTCAGACAGCACACAAACCCACCCACAGAACCTGTCCCTAGTGCCCAAAAGGTTGGGGACCTCTGAGCTATTGGGAAGCACTACACACTGAAGGCAGTAGTATGTGTAAGAAGAAGCACAAGAATGAAACGGCTTCAGGCTTCATTGCCCGCAGAAGTAACCTATCACTTACGTGGCAACAAGACCTGAGCTGGATCCTCCTCTGAGAAGCCCAAAAGCTGCTCCACAGAGAGACCAGAGAGATCATCTCCGCCTCCAGGAGGTACCCTGGCCATCTTCATCAACTGGCCCTGCAACTTAAAATATTAAAACAATTGGACACTGGAACAAGGGGATCCTTTTGTGTCTCCAAAGTTAGGCCGTGTTATATCCATATCCAACTAGATCCATAGTTGGATATGCAAACTCCCTTGGGATTCCCCTTCTTCCTATGGAATAATCTGGAGGGGGAAACACCACTCTGGGAGTGAAAATGGAGGGAAACTAAAATCTCTTCCACTGTCACCGCCTGCATTTGTGTCTCCAAAGCTGGACCTTGTTATATCCATAGGTGGAGATGCAAATTCCCTTTGGATTCCAATTTCCTCCTAGGGAATAACCTGGAGGAGGAAAAACAGGACTCTGGGAGGGAAAGGGAAGAGAAAACCAAGGTGTCTCCTTTATTTGGGCACTTGAGCCGGGCAACGGAAAGCGGCCATTCCTCCCTGGAGGGGATCCTCCCAGAAGGACAAGGAAGCCAGATCCCCGGGGGATCCTTCCTCCCGGGAGGGGATCCTTCCCTCTCCTCACCTGCCGCCGCCTCCGCTCCTCCCAGGCCCGGCTGAGCAGGGATCTCTCGGTCGGGGTCCCCTCCTGGGCGACGCTCTCCGCCCGGCACCCCCGCAGCCAGCCCGCCATCTCCGGGGACTGCGCGGCCAGGAGCCGCTCCAGGATCCCCCGGTCCACCAGCCCGGCTTGGCCGCTCCGCTCGGGCTTCAGCCAGCCGGGGCAAAGCGGCTGCTGCAGGCGGCTGCAGAAGATCGGTCGGTGCCCCGACGACGCCCGGCAGCCCCATCGGAGGAAGCCCTCCGCCTCCTCGGAGCCCCGCGGCGCCGGCGGCTCCTTCTCGGTCTCGGCGGCAGGAGAGCCCGGCGCTGCTCCCGGCCTGGGCGAGGCCATCGGCCGGGCCGGGCTCCCTTGACCGGTGGTGCCTCCTCCTGGTTCTGCCTGCCTCTGGCCGGGAGCCTCCGCCGGATGCCGATCCGCTGCGCGCCGCCCCGGGATCCCTCCGGATTCCCTCCCATCCTCCACTCCCGGCCGCCGCCTCCTTCTTCCCGGGAAAGGAGGGCGGGGGGAAGCCTACCGGCTAAGCGGGATCGGGGCAAGCGCAGCTGCCACTCACCCCCGGCTCTCGGCTCCGACTTCAGCGTAAGGCCCTCTCGGCCTCTGGGAAGGAGACAGCGCGCTTCTTCCTAGGGAAGCTCTCGGGTTCTCTCTGTCCCCTCCTTTGAAGGGGAGTGAGTCTCCTTTGAAACGTCCCCGGCGGCCAGCCAGTCCGTCTCTATCCTGCGGCAGGGCACGGCTAGCGAGGATTCCCACGCTTGCTTTGCCCAGGTAGGGATAGGGATAGGGATAGGGATAGAATAGAATAGTTTATAATAATAATAATAATAATAATAATAATAATAATAATAATAATAATAATAATAATAATAATAATAATAATAATAATAATAATAATAATAATAAAGTTGGAAGGGACCTTGGAGGTCATCTAGTTCAACCCCCTGCTCAGGCAGAAAACCCTATACCAGCGGTAGGCAACCTCGACTCTTTTATGACTCATGGACTTCAACTCCCAGAATTCCTGAGTCAGCT